CTTACTATGTAAAGCGAAAGTTTATTTGTTCAACTATTCTTCGCTGTTTTTTTTATTGCTTTTGTAAAGTCCTCGTACATACCTGCATATCTACATACATATGTTCGTACAAACACACGAGTACTTCTTGCCTGCAGAAAATCTGACTAGCTCACAACTAGCGTAGCACTAGCGTAGAACCTTTTGCCGACAGTACTAGTTCTAGCTCAATATCTAAGCAATGCTTTCAAGTGTCCACTTTTACACAGCGATGACATTGGCGCAATACTTTGCAACTAGTCTTTAACCGGTTCCGTTTTGGACAGTTTTTTTTTAAGAAAACATTTTTAAAATTCGATTTTTGGATTTTTGTTTTTTGGTTTTTTCCTTTTCTGTTTCAGGTTCCATTTTTGTTAGCTATTTTATTATAAAAAAATAAATTATTGTGAGCTGCATGCAACCACTTAAATTCATTAAATTTCAAAACTCACAACTACCTCCACCGCGATTTGAGCTCGCGACCAAAGATGCTTGAGTCGGAGGTCTTCTCGCTGAGCTACTTTCGTATTGTACGAGTAGTGAGCATTTGCACATTTACACCGCAAGTTTCAACTGTCCCACTCTGCATCCGTTTTGCACTAGTTCAGAGATAGTTCTGACATATGTATGTTGTTCGGAACTAGCGCTTTGTCAGCTTGTCTCTAAATTTACTGCAGGGTTAATACGAAGAGTAAGAGCAGAATTTTGTAGCAATCTCTGTAGCTGAGTCAATTGGGTGTGCAGAATGTATGCAACACTTTATGCTGAGTTCAAGTGTTGGTAGGCATATAAATGAGCACACAAGCATACATACATACTAAGTTGACGGTGTGGTAGATTTTCCGGTGTATTCCGAGAAAGCAGGAATGGTGAGAAGAAATATCGACGGACAGTGTTGGGTCGATAGTTTTCAGGTGATGAGACATAAGATTCTATAAGTGTAAGAATTTTTACTGTAAATGTATACATATGTATGTATGTATTTGCATGTTAAAAAAGGCCCATTTACTGCCTCAATAAGGGTCTACTATACATACATAAATGTTTGTATGTAGTATGGCAGTAAACAGTCGAAGGCTAAGCCGCAGATGATGGGTTGGCATATTTAAGTGAAGCCATTGGTGTTAGATGAGGCAATCATCTTTAGTATAAAATAAGTATATTTTCTTATAAAAAAAAAGGTCAAAATGTTTCATTTATTTTTGAACACATATATACTCTGGGGATATATCATAAATACTATAAAGAACGTTGTTATTGCCCAAATTTCATAGGTAAATGGTATTTGAGACGAAGAGTATCCGTTGAATGCTTGTTTTATTTAGACTTTTACTTAGGAAAATTTCTCTTGAAATGTCCTATGGCTGGGTGGATGTGTAAAAATAACACTCATAGGGACAATAACGCATTATATGCGCCTTCCACTATCTAACTACGAATACATACGAGAAAGTGAAAAGATATTCTACTTGCTAAGCGCTTGGCAACATTTATTTTTACGGAGTGTTTAAAAGTTGGTTGTAAATAATTAAGATGTGGGGATCTTTTGAACTCGTCTTCTCAAACCCAAAGGCCAGGGACCGAAACAGTTAGAACTTTTATTATAAAATTTTTACTTTTATGTAGTTGCTTCTTAAATAACACTTCTGTATTCCTGACTTTTATTTTATACACAAATCCGAAGTAACAATTATTTTTGATTTTTTCTGAATAATCTGCAAATAACAGCTATTTTTGATGTTTTTTATTATGTATCTTAGATAAAAGTTATTCAAGACTTTTATATATACATAAAAGACTTTTATTATTGAAGACTCTTATTGATAAAGCTATTATACGCAAGATTTTGCGCGGGTAAAATAGTGGTTACCAAATAGCAACTTAATCCAGGGATGCTTGATTTAAAATAATTTCTGATTTTAAATCCGCTATTAATTGAGAACACTGTTTGTGATTTGATACGTCGTACAAATAAAAAATTAAATTTATTTATGATTTGATTCATTAACCAAATCAAAAATAAATAAAATAAATAAATCACAAATAAATTTTATTCATGATTTGATTCGTCGAATAATCAATACAACTTTCAATTCAGAAATCAATTTTATTTTTGGATTTTTGATTTGACTAATTAAAAATCATGCAAACCTACTTCGTCTACATGGCGAAAATATAAATAGGGAAGAGACATTTTAGCTATTTCCCTTTCGTTTATTTAACGTTTATTATTTTTTCTTATGAAAGCAATTTTTTAATGTAAGTCAAAATTTCAAACCTTGTACAAAAATTAGCGAAATTCGACAATGTTTCATCAAATTTGAGCATTTTAATTCGATTTTTTAAAAACATTCTGAGTACACAGTTTGTAGCCAATTCAATTTTAGTACAGAGTGCATATTTTGGGTATCTAATACTTACCGTACATTTTTGGCAATTTGTTTTCCATACAAACAAATTTTCAAGCATACAGAAAAAGCGGAACAAAAA